AATAATAATAATAATAATAATAATAATAATAATAATAATGTCAGCTAGATTGACTAGATCCTCAAAAGCTTGAACTTGACCGCATGGTGTATTCTGCAACCAGCTTCGAGAACAAGGATGTTTTATCCGCCAGCAACTTGTCCGGTGTATCATACTCTGCAAGAAGCCCGTCGGCTAATACTAACACCATGTCACTCTCAATCACGGATGTTATCCTGTGAGCAATTGTTATTACGGTTGAGTCTCTGAAATGCTGCTTCAGTGTCTGTTGAATGAGGTTATCGGTCGCTGTGTCGACTGATGCTGTTGCCTCGTCCAGCACCAGTACCTTGCTCTTCTTTAACAACACACGCCCCAGACACACTAGTTGCCTTTCTCCAACACTCCAATTCTCACCATTTTCAGACACTGAAACAATTCCACATCTGCTAGGTAATGTCTTGTAATGTAATGTAAAATGATTAAATGAACTAAGGTGGTTTTCCGGCAACCTTGGAGTCTCAAAGGGCTAATGAAGAATAAGGTTACCTTGAGAATAGAGCTTCTCGGGCTTGTTCCGGACCTCATCACCGAGCTGGCATTTGTCGAGAGCCTAACACACCCAATAAGAAAATTAATCGGCATGTGTATAACAGTAGAAAGAGAGAAGTTTTATCAAATGCATCTATAGAAAAGCATAGCACCTCCCATATCTGTTCATCAGTGTGCTCCTCGAGGGGATCAAGGTTACTTCGAATGGTGCCTTCAAACATGGTTGGATCTTGTGGGATGATACTTAATCTGGACCGTAGATCATGCAATCCTATGGACAAGATATTGACACCGTCTATTGATATCTGTCCAGCGGCAGGTTCAACTATCCGGAAGAGTGCCTGAATAAGAGTGGACTTGCCGCTTCCTGTTCTCCCCACAATTCCAGTTCTCTTGGCCCCAAGAAAAGTACATGTAAGGCCGCGTAACACAAGGGGTAGGTGAGGAGCATATCGAACCTACAAATGACAAACTTATTATGATCGTACAGAAAATTTGATATCCTTCAGTAAAAACTTACTACATAACAAAGGTATCCCATTTCATTCCTTAAAAGCGAATTACCTGAAGTTCGTTGATAGAAACTTCACCCTGCGTCGGCCAGTGACTGTCTGGTCTGTTTGACTCCACAACAAGAGGAGGTTCAGATGGGATGGAAGTGTACTGAAGGATTCTTTCAACAGATATGATCCTATTTTCAATGATGCAAAGATTCCAAACAAGCCATTGTTGCAGAGAGTTTAAACTCAGTCCATAAGTGACTGCTAACCCAGCAATACCTGCACATTTTACACACAAAAAGATGGACTATGTTGTACGAACAAGTTCAAGTTAATAAAAAAGTGTGTTTAATGTTGGAAAAACTGCCTACTTGGGTCAATTGTTCCTTTAGGAATTAGAATCACGAACACGAGTAAGAAGGCATATGTCGCAAGGGTCAACAGATCCGAACGGAGGCATAGCCACTGCATGGCACAAGCAACGTTGAAGTTTGGCCTGGTATTCGCATCTATTAGCCTCATGTTTAGGTCACGGAATCTTGGTTCCTGATTGAAACATCTAATCATGGTTGATCCAGAAATGGTCTCTGAGAAGTGTTGTATCACAGGAGCTTCACACACCCCACATAGTCTGGTGAGCTCTCTTGATGAAACAATGTAATACCTCTGAAATCAACAATATTTTGGGTTAGAGTCCATCCTTTTGACACATGCAGTTTCATAAAAATAAGGAGCTCACCATAAATTTAACAACACAAGTAGAAGAAAGTGGCAATGACAAGTATTGACAACAGTCAATAGTACAACAATCAAACAGCACAAGGCAAATGCAATTGGATTAAAAGAAGAAAAAAAATAGTTTACCTGCAGCCATATGCAAAGTGCGGTCAAGGGAATGAAGATGAGGATGACAGGCCATGCAACTTGCGAAATGACAATGATGACCCCAGAAAGCTGTATTATGGTGGAAGAAAATATAGAAAGCAGGTTTGACATAGCTTTGTCAAGTGTACTTTGATCCGTAGAAGCCTGTAAAAGAACACATCCCTATCAATAATTTTTCCCTCTTTATTTTTAATTTTTTTTATTTTTAATTTTTTCTTTCTGCCTGAGTTATCAAGATATGATCAAAAAAATATATGCCACACATAATGGACTTACTCTGCTTAGAATTCTCCCACTGGGGGTGGCATCAAAAAAGGACATTGGAGCTTGAAATATGCACCGATGCATATTGTTAAAGAATATCTTTGCCGTAGTGTAACCAATCGCAAGGACAGGCAAGGATTTTGCCAAAAGACAAATGGAGCTTCCAACACATAAAGCAACATAAACAAGGATAAGCTTAGAGCCATCAACCCGAGGTGTCAAGTCCTTTGAGACAGGCGTCGCCCAAGCAATCCAATAATTGCTTCCAATTTGGAGAATTTCAACAAAAATTTGTGCAAGTAATAAGATTGGTACAAGAAGTCCTCCATATGCTGTTGTGAGGTATTTCCAGTAAACTGATAAGGTAACACTCCCTGTCTCTCTTTCTTCTTCTTGGACAAGTTGTTCTAACGTTCCTGCATCCTGGTCTCCTTCATCAATTATATCCTTCAAAGAATCCTGTTTTGTGTTAGCATCCATGGAGCTCCTTTCCTTGCCATCAACAGAATCAAAGGCTTGTAAAGCCTCCTCATGTGCGCCAACAAGCTCCATGAAATCACTTCCAAGCTTTAGAATATCATTATACTTTCCAGCCTGTTTAATTTCTCCATCTTTCATAACCTGATTATTGCAGAACATATTTTTGTTAGCCTGCAAATCAAAAATGCAATAATTCAAAGATGAAAGGTGGGGTTTTACTAGAATGAGGTCTGCTGATGGAAGAAAGTCCATTTGATGTGTGACATACACAACAGTTTTGGAATTCAAAAGGCCCATAATGCATTCCTGACATGTGTAACAAACAGCATAAAAACATGTTATTCATATGGATTGATAGAAATGAGCATAGCACAAGAATCAGTAGTTGGTCAAATTATGGTAGTCTCATGGCCTCTACATATGGATAAGCCAAGAAACCCATCCCTTCCTGATTTGCATATTTAGCTATAGCCTCTATCAGTGTATGTTCTGTGAAAGAGCTAGCATGGGACAAGTTCAACCGTATTTCTGGTTAAGTTTTGTGCGTGTGTGTGTTCTTCTCCATGTTCAGCAGAACATATATGGATAGGACGGCAGAAGTTACATGCATCCTCTGAGTTCTTAATGGCATATCAATATCAATGTGGTTATATATAAACATTATTATTATATATATCAAGAATTTCCTAGGTTTTAGAAATTAATA